CCCCCCGCACCCTCCCGAGCCCGGGTCACCTGGGCGGACGGCACCTCTGGTGGGCTGGGCCCTGCAGAATGCCCTAACCTATGTTGCTGCAAGTGATCTTTCAGCTTAACCCCAATTGAGGTTGATGATTAACCGCTGACTCACAACTGATACCCTGAGGTGGCCACCACCTGTGACAAAAATCAAAGCAGGCTATATCACCTACCCACATCAGACAGAAGCTTCTACAGACTACAGACTGTAGGTTCACACTCCATGATAATTCAGCAAAACGTCAACGAAACAACAAAACGTCAATATATGATACATCCCAAACCTGAGCTGCCCGGTAATGGCCGGGAAATCCTGGCATAGGCAGAGTAGAAGAAGAGGACAGAAAACGAGGGGCTATGACAGACTGTTCGACCCGAGTTTCACCGACTCCTTGAATCGTAAATTAATACTAATGTGCATGTGTTCATCTTTTACCTTTCAGATCTTTATTACAGCTGACTTGTAAGGGCCTCGCTCCACTACAGGACACGCTACCCGATACATTCAAAATGTTTGAATTGTTTGAATGCACCTGATCCAGAAATCATCCAAATGCATGTAGTGTTGTGTAGTGGAGAACAAGTGAGGAGAGTTCATCTACGATTCATTGATATTTCCTCTGCGGTTCATTGATATTTACATCAGGCAGAAGAATAAAGTGAGTGGCAAGACCATTCCTGCTAGACGAGTGGCGAACAATCACTACCTGTTTTCTTTTTCTTAAACCACTACCGTCTTCCCCCGAACATAACGTACCCTAAAAATGAATGTATACAAGCTATATTTCGGGGGAAGACGGTAGCACCTCCGCTGGTTGGGAAAATAGGGAGGCCTCGGGTGGGCCTCCAATCTTTTATGAGGCCGAAACGAAACGACGCCCGCCGATGAGATTTACCAGCCGCGGCCGTCGTCAGGTGAGAAAACTGCCAGTTTCCCCTATTGTCCCAACACTGGCAAAGGTTCTAGTGCGCTTTAAGATAAAAATACCGGCGAGTAGTGAAGGAAAGAGTTTGAAAAACTCGATAACCAAAAAAAAAAAAAAAAAAGTGTGCTTTGATTTTCCTTCCAAGAAAAGAAAATAATCCTGGATTAAATAATGTCAACGTCATAAACTTTCTTTCCCTTTGGTTGGAGGAAGGAATCACAGCATCTCCACCCAAATACAACGCACATTCGTGATTGTTGTATCTAGACTGAAAGTTGCCCCAAATACAGCCATAATGACCGGGCGTTGTATTCAGGTGAAGACGGTAGAACTGACACCTCGGCGTGGACAATATGACAAAGCGGTACAGACCATCCTGCATTGCTTATATGATTACCAGGCAATCAACCAATCGAAGGGCCTCGCTCTACTACTCAAACACTCTACACGTACCTGGACCGTGAACGGACTAGATACCTTCAAAATGTTCGATCAGCCCAAACGTATCTGGTCCATCGACAGTCCAGATACATGTTGAAAGTTGAGTAGTGGTGCAAGGCCCAATCAAGCAGTACTTCCTGAGCAAACCCACTTTTAAACAGGGCTGCATACACGGTCCCACTGGGGCCTCCTCCCCCCACCGGAACCGGGCCGGTCCTACCAGCCGGTAGACTGCGCCGGTTCCCCCCCCGTGGCCATTCGCGCATTTTGATTGGGAGGGGTGTTCAAACTTTTTAGAGGCCGGGAGGCCTTCATGCGGGTCGTGAAGGCCTCCCGGCCTCAAAAAAAAAGAACCAGGTCCGGTAGGGCCGCCCGATTGTTCAAAAACCGGCGGCCTATCTGGACCAGCGATCTTGTGAGATCGGTGGCCCAGATAGGCCACCGGTTTTAGAACATTCGGGCGGGAAACCGCCCGAACATCGGCCTACCCTCCCCCCCGCTTCCAGCCTCCCATCACTTCGACACTTCGTCGAATGTGAACGAAGTCGAGACTTCGTCGCCCCCCCCGTTCACTCCCACCTCCGTGGAGTCACCATCGTCCCGGCCCGCCGTCGAGCTTCCCCTCTACCGGTAAGCTACTTCCTCTGCTTCCTCTAGTTCTTCTTCTTCTTCTTCTTCTTCTGGTAGAGCTGAACTCAACTTCGTGTAGTATTTCGGTTTCGAGCGCACACAGAAGTTGGTGGGGCGCACGGAATTATGCGCTGCATTGAGAGTGAGTGAGAGAGAGAGAGAGAGAGAGAGAGAGAGAGAGAGAGAGAGAGAGAGAGAGAGAGAGAGAGAGAGAGAGAGAGAG